TTTTGAGCGCTACGCCACACCGCCGACCTACATAACTCTCTCGTACACGGGGGTTGAAATAGTGTTTGCCTTTGCGGAAACTCACATCAGTTTCGCAGAAACATGTTTTCCTTGCATCACGTCGAGTTGCGAGTACCGCCGATTACATCGTCATAAGTGCTCTGACGCTCAACAATTTAGCAATGCGCTTGGGAATGTTTTATATATATAAACGTTTATATATATAGATATATAATATCTTTTACATGTTCTCTTCTGCGAAAAATATCTCATGTAATTCGCGCAATTTTTTTAACAAAGACAAATGTTAGCTTACAAAAAAATTGAATTTATCGTTTGATGTTTTATAGAGAGGTCTTCGTAATTTTCCGAGCTTTTTTTAAGTGATGAGTTTTTCCAGAAAATTGTAATCTATTTTACCTTTCTTTACGTATACACCGTCGAACAAAATGGCAACGTTTAAATAAAATAGTACGTTTGAATAATTTACAACAACTTTATTAAATGTACATAAATTAAATCCTATCTGTTTTACATTTTAATTTTTACAAATTGCGTGCTTTGTTTTAATATGATACATTGCATATATCGCAACTGCTCTCCCATTACACGCAATACGTCATCTCCGTGATAAAAAATATCAAGCAATCGCAAACTAAATATGCAGCCTTTCGTGACAAGATATTTGCGTTAACGTGGACAAATTGTATATGATGGAGGAGTCGCATCAAGCTCGTAACAAACAGTTGTAATTCGCTTAAATGTATTTTTATTTTTGCTTATAAATTTTAAAACTTTACAAATAAAACAAGAAGTATAGATATCATATTAAATAGGAACATTAGGAATTTCTAGCGTGCAAATTACGAACAAAGTAATGAAAACAAGAAATATTTTTAGCAGTATATAGCTACACGGAAAGAACAATTTTGTTGAAAGGTCTAAAAATTTTGCTAAAAACAGATCTGAAAATAATTTTTTGTTGAATCATCAAAATAATTTTTTGGAATGTTTAAACTGATAAGCATTGCTATAAAACGTTTCGATATTCTAGCAATTACTTTCACTTTCGCATAAAATTATTTTGATTATTGAATAAAAATTATTATCAGATCTGAATTCAGCAAAATTTTTCTTTCCGCGTACTGACCAGGTCTTTTAAATTACTTAATTTTGACTATCACATAAAAATTATAGCTCTCTTCTCTGACAGCATGATCCTCTAAAGTAATCAAAACTTCGCATATAAATTAATAGACTAAAATGGTTTATTTTCAGAAATAGATCAGTGCCTCCGTATTGGATTTTTATTTCGGAATGATTTAGGTTGTCTAGCGTTATAATAATTAATTTCTGTCGTTTACACTGTTTCGCGAAGTTTCGAAAAATAGCATCTCGAAAGATTAATGGCTCAGTAGATTTGCTGATTTAGCAATTTAATAATATATAGCAACGGATTTCATAATCTCCATGCGGCGAGAACGGAGAACCGAGTAGGTACTTGATCAATCGGACTTGTCGCAATCAGCGTGACTCTCTATTTACTTCTAATTTAATCATTGCCTGACCGTCGACGGCATATAGCCCGCATCTGCATCCGACAGTGGTACAGGCACGTAGTAAATGTATAGCTGATACTATGCGACGTACACAAATGGTTGGGCAACGTATAAATTCCGCCGCTGTCTGAGTCTCATATGGGGCGTGCCATTGAAACGTGTTTTTGCTATGAATTCGACAAATATTTGCCCGCGTGACATGGGAAGGTTGACACATGCCGTTATGGAAAAAACCGCGAGCGATAAGAGATCAATCGCGCGTGTATCGTTATTCCGTGGCGTGCAAAATTGCATAACCGGGCGGCGAAGAAAATGGAGGGGTTACAATCAATTTTCGTTTAGCGATACACGACGAAATCAATTTTAATCGTGCCGTTATATCGAGAGCGAAATATCAATTTTTTTTCCCCCATCTGCAACACATAGCGACATATATTAGATAGATATCGGCGTTTGTTCAACGGTAAATGTCGAAAATGTCGTTACTATATTTACGCGGAGATCAATTTCCCATTCATTTTCCATCGATCTTGTATAGAATACTCTCGATGCAGCATCAGTTTACTCGATACAGAAATCAGTTTCAGAGAACGCGACTCTAAAAGTAATATCTTTATAACACACCATTTACGTATTTTTACATTAATAAAATCCACTTTCATTGTCGCTTCTGTACTCGCGCTGGTTCACGCGCTAGTCCCTCCAGGTATTTGAGATATTTACAACGCAAGATGATATTCTCAGCCATTTTCCGGGTGTATACACAAAATGTACGACTCGGTGCAGCGTTTCGTTTCGCTGATCCTCTCCGCTTGTTCTCCAGCCCGCCCCTCCCCGCTTTAGCCTACATCTTTAGCCTGTGTTTCCTGCACAGGGCGCGTCTCCTCCTCCACCTCCCCGTCGCCTTCCTGCTCCTGTACACGCGTTTGCTTCGTTTTCTCTCCGCAGTATTTCTTTGCTCTCCCGCGCGAGATCGCGCTTTTCCCGAGTATTCCCCTTCCCACCTCGGTAATAATTGAATTCGCGTTACGTCTCGGCTACCGCGCGAGAAACCGAGGTAGAAGACAGACGCGCGCGCGCATGATCGTGGTCGTTTCGCATTTGAAATTGAGAAGAGAAGAATGTATAAAAGAGACAGAGAGAGCGCGAGGAAGACAGCCGACTGAAACGAGGCAAGGTGGCCGCGAGTATTGTGCCTTTCGCCGTCGCGTCGCGGCAATCCGATTAGACGGATCTGCGGCGTACGCAGCGCGGACTGCGAAAAGCTACCCTTTGATTTTGAAATTTAATTTACTCATCGAGCGGGAACAAAGAAAACTGCGCGCCCGTCACGTAACGAGGCTTCGCTTTCGTCTTTAGCGCGCGGAATTTCTTAAGCTCACGGCTCAAAGGCGCTCGTCTTAGAAAATGCGATCCGTATGTTAGACACCGGTGATGAGAGCTTGTAAACTTAATATGCGGTAATTTAAAACATGTACTTGATTTTAAAGTGTATAATTTTAAATTACATAAATCCACACTACCGTTCATAAATTTAGAAACGCTTTTCTCGCACTCATGAAAAAAATCTTAGGAAAGTTTTGAAAAACGTATTTTAAAGAGAAGAGATAGAGCTGTAAATTTTTTAGTTTCGCTTCTATCAATATTTTTGTTTTACTTTGCAGCGCTATAGTTTGATGAAACAAAAATTAACGATAAGGTATTTTAAAGTAGGCTTTCTAAACTTTAAAATAGTTTTCTAAAAAAATTCGTCCAATAATTTTTCGCAATGATATCGAATTTTATGTGTAAAAACCTTTTTGTTTTTAAATATTTTTAACTTCAAAATTAAATAGTTTACACAAAAAAAGAGAGAAACCGAGAGAAAAATGTTTGTTATATAATGTTTTCGATTTGTATAAATTTTTTCAAAAATTTTTTAGACTATTTTTAGGTCAATTTTTTAGGGAAATGCGAAAAAAATCGCAAGTGTTCCTTTATGAATGGCGGCGGGTGTAAAAACGAGAAAAACAAATTTCAATCACTTTGTTAATGGATCTACAAAACTCGTATATTCAATTACTGTAATTAATTGAATTCGATGAACGCAATCTATGAGTTCATCACATTTTACAATTTTGATCAACAGATATAAAATTGCGCGAAGTAGGAAGAACGTACGGATATAATTAATAATTGTTCCTTCGCGCCCAATAAAATTGATAAAATCGAACGATATGAATTAATCCTATTTTTCCGCGGTCTTAACCGTGGAATAATAACGCGTTAATTATCGACTTTCTGAATTTCACTAAACATATTCTGTTACAACAAAACTTAGTACACCCTAAAATTAACATCTGATAACTAATTTGGCATTTAACCGAGACCATCTTCAGCGGCTCGAAAACGCGCGAGTAAAAGCCACTTAATTTCTCGAATAAAGATAACTACTTGAGCGATTCTCATTTATAGAAGCACTGTATTAATTTTCAAATCTTATGTTACATTAAACAGAATCTAACAAACTTCTTTCAAGTTTGGGACGCTGTTGGATTCTCACGAAAATTATCTTTCGTGCCGATAACAATTTCCAGCACGGGTAATGTGTGTAAACAAAGTACATATAAAGAAATTGAAATTTTTCATTTCAACAAGAAATGCAAATACATCGTTGTAATCGATATAAAAATCTATCGGCACAATTAAATCTCTTCGCAATTATTTGGGGAACTGTGTCCTACATACACATGCACCTAGTTATCCCCAATCCGCCGGTATATCAAGTGTGCAACGGTCGTGCCATATGTGCCGCTCTCGTCGACCTTTTTTTTTCAAACAAGCGCGGATAACGATTATTGCACTTTTTTCTCGGCTATTTGGTATGCATTGTTAAACGAGAACTCCCGTGGCGAAAAAAAGCGGCTTACGCGACAGCGATCGATTTGAGATAGGGGAGGAAAGGGGGCGTCGTTTACTTTCCCTTAACAGAAAGTTTTTTTCGCGTTGTTTGCGCCATGTACCGTACACGGGACCGGAGATTGCTTTCGCTGTTCTGCGGAATCCGAAGTGGGAAAAACACACGCTGTTTGTTCTTCTAGGATTTTGCGCCGCGTTACTCAAAACAGTAAATTTTCGCCGGCTCTCGTCCTCGCTGCGCCAAATGATTTACGCTTTGACGTTAGCGTATTCCGAATGTATGCGATACACGCGCGAATTTCGTTATTTGCATAAAAGTTGCGCGAGTACGCACAAATTCATTTCTCATCACGACGACGCGTCGCGAGTGCGCATCCTGTGCATTAACTAAAGCTGCGTCGTCGTTAAAATAATTTCAATGCTTCGGAATATTAATTGTGCATGCGCGCACGCTAAAATTGTAAACGGTATATCGATCGTTATAATATAGTCGACTCAACGAATGTCGTCTTGATGCATAATGGGATACATTTATTGTTCCAGCACCGTCCTTGGTCGAGATCCTTGGGATTCGGTGGAATCGTGAATATTACGCTACCGTGAGTCTAGAACGAACGTAAGTTGAATTTTTTAAATTAATAAACAGCTTCATAATCTGTCGCTGACATCAGCCGTATTTATGAAATTATAATAGAATGTGCAAAGGACAGATTCTAGATTCTAGTGCACGTTTTCATAATCTCTAATTATCGTAATTTACTTAATATATAAAGATGCGTCAGTGTCTCCCACCAAGTATAATTTCGTTACATTAAGATGAAGGAGACGCTACAGCATATCCTTTATCAGACAGATAACTTTTGTAGAAATAAATTATAATTTCTTTTAAGTATATTGATTTATCGACAAATGTCTATTTTGGGGAAGAATAGATATAAGAAGATATAAGGCAGATATTATAGCATTACTGATTAATATTCTGATAAAATCGTTTTAATCGTTTTTTAAAATCATATTTTATTTCATCAGGATTAAATATTATAATAGAATACTCAAAAAACAGATTCTAGATTCTAGAGCACGTATTTATAATTTATACTTATCGCGTAATTTACTTACAGATTAATATATTATAACGAGATTAGACAAATATAATAGCATTACTGACTAGTATTCTGATAAAATTGATACTGATTTTTAAAATCGTACTTTGTTTCATGAATTATCACCCTTAAGTTTATTATTAAATATTTACACCTAGTTATATATTTCCGTTTGATAGAAATGCGATTGGATAAAAGTGTCTGATGTTTTTATTAATTATCGTCAATTAACTTATTTTGTGTAATACTGATTTCTATATAGGGTAAAAGAGATAACGATAACCGAAATCGCAGAGACTTGAAATTTTAAATATTATATCATTCAACGAATATATTATATTAATAAGGATTTTAATTATTTTCTATTACTTAAATACTGACTTTTTGGTTTTTTTTCCGCCCGTGATTATTTGAATTTAATGAGTTTCTTTTTTATAACAATTAAATTTATGCCAATAGGAAACTATGACTATTCATCGAATAATTATCGATCGTGAATGCTACCAATCATATACTAATATTCATTTTCGTCCTTAAAAAAGTAATATATATATTATAACTAATCTAGAACAAGCTCATCTTTCACAGACGGTTAATATCTTCATTTATCGATAACGAACGCTCCGAGCTCCGTTTCGTGTTCGTCGCATTAACAAAGAGCACATTTGCTCTCAAAAGTCGTATTCGTCGTATCAGCCCCGAGTCAAATGACAAAGCGCTGTCATGCCGGCACCAGGCCATTGCTGCATAATGACAACGGGGGCGAACAATGAGAGTAATGTCGGCATTCGTCAGTACTACCCTTCGGCAGTTAATATCAATAGAAACGAGGAAAAAGAAGGGAGAGAGAGAGAGAGAGCGTAAGAGAGCCGGCGGTGCGCGTTCCCGTTTTCTTAAAATTGTTATACCGTCGTGTATCATTGGAGAAAATTTCTTTTATCTACCCAGCTGTCATAGAGAGCACGAAAAGGAAAGAAGTAATCAGGATGAAATTCTGGCTGCCTATGAGCAGAAAGATATACATGTACAAGACTATATAAAGACTTCATTTTTTTTTCACTGGGCAGACCGTTCGATGCAACAAGACACTCATGCTCGACGCCGGAAGATTAAAAGTTCTATGGAAGTACAAAGGTTTCTTTGAGCTCCTTTGGAAAATTCGCATCTTTGCTCCGAAATATTTAATTACGAATTGTCCGTATCATTTCTGTATATTTACATATATAATCAATTCGCGTATCGTAGTTAATTATTACACACAAAATTCGAAACTATCACGAAGAGCATGATTTTCTAGGCTACATTCCAAAATGTTGCTTTTGAAGACAATTTTACTGAAAAGCTATAGCATTATACATAACATAAAGTATAGCTTTTTAGTAAAACTGTCCTGGAAATTAACGTTTTTAAAATGTAGCTCTTAGTATTATAAACAAAAGAAGGAGATCGCTCAAGTACTTTTGTAAATAATAATATATTTACGACGCTGCGGTGTATTATATTATATATATATATTTTTTTTTTTCTGGTTCATGGCTGCATTTGCAGTTTTCTAACGCTTACATACAACAGGTTTAGGACTAAAAGATTTATTATATGTTTCTAGAGAGAGAGAGAGTAGTATATGCTTCCCGCTATATAGCTGTAGTAGTTTCTATCAAATAGATCTAAGTCAATTATCAAGCGTACACGGTAGGATAAAAGGCTTTTTGGCGATGTGCAGGCATGACAGTACTGTAATCCGATTGCACGGATGTAATCGGAGCGAAAACGGAGCGTGGAGTTTCGCGGACTAGTCTTCCACATCGGCTTGCGGGAGTGCAGAAACGACTTTGACGATGCTCTGATAGTTTCGTGTGACCCAAAGTTAATAACCCCGCGGCGCGGCAACGGAACTTTCGCGGACAATGTTCCCCGCCGCAAATTTATAAGATTCGGTCTTATTTGAAAAGTTTATGCAATTTCGCGGTCCCCGGCACACGGCCTGTAAATATTCGGCCGAAACTTTGAACTTTCCGAATAATGCAGCCGAAGAGTTTATCGAACAGGGAGAGAGAGAGAGAGAGAGATGAGTGGATACTGTTATACAGAGAGATTAGATATCGGAAGAAACGAAACGTGCAATATGAATTGCCAAATTGATTCGATTGACGATTTTGAAATCTCTTTTTCGAAATAAATTGGCCGTAAATAAGCTGCAAATTAAATGCGAACGCGCATTACACATCGGTCATTTAAAATATTTAATTATTCATATAAATAACAAATATTACGTACTTTCATTGCAATGGCTATCGAAATACGATTGCGTGGTATATAATTTTCTGCAGCGTATATCGACCGTATCACACAAATTTAATTTAAAAAAAAAAGTACTTTGAACTTTTTATCTTTTATCTTTTTACTTTTTAACATACATGTTTTAATAAAACGATCTTATATAGTAATCACACATTTTTTCCGTTGGGGGGGGTTGAAAACAAGATTGATTCACGTATGTGTGTGCGATCGAACACAATAACATTGCTTCAAGTTGAACTCACTTTATTTATCATGTTTACAGTTAGATATAAGAAGAATTTATTGCTGGCGCATATTGTGAAATGGGTGTTGTACGAGCGATGAACCCGAATGTGATTCTCAACTCTGTACGTCAAACAATCTTGTAAAAGCGAAATACGGATTTCTCGTCGATATTTCTTTCTCGTATTGATCCTATGTTTCTCTCTCTGTCTCTCTTTCTGCTATTTTGTTTTTGTCCGTCAAACGTTTTCATTGTCGAAATTTAATGTTTGGACGAAAATACATACTCTGAACTTCTTACTACGTTGCTACACATTCAGAGTTAAGCATACGTACTTTGAAGGGAAAGAATTCAGCACGGGACGTCGAGAGAAATATTTGACAAAGAAAGGTGAAGTCGTTCCCGGGAAAAGAATTTTTTCAACGATTTTCTTAACAAGCGCATCTCCAGGGAGAAGATCAACAAAGATTGCTGCGAGAGAAGGAGAGAAAAAAAGACAGACCGGGGCATCGCGTTGCCTTTAGTACGGATAATTTTTAATTCATCCAATCTCGAATCTGCGTTTCGCGTACTTCGCGAAGAAGGATAAAATTTTTCAGGCCAAAATGAGTTAAAGCTCCCCAGCATACCCGTTTCTTTCCCTTCGGATAGCGCCGTTAAGTAGCACGTTCTGTAGATGAAAGCTCTAGATATAATTTCAATCATGCTCCATGTAGACGTGATGGCAGTCATACTGTACGCGCGTAGTGTGTGCGTGATACGTACAGGTAAGCAGATATTCGCAAGGAAGGATGCGGAATCCGGTTGCACAAAGGCGCGTCATCGAGACCGTGAATGCGGCAGGTGCATATCGACTTAGCGTCTGTGTAAATATGCTCTGCTCCGCGCATCTCCGCGACTGCGTTACATTTCGCCGCTTATAGAGAAAGTTGCCCCGTCGTCGCAAAGAACACGGAGATATTACGCCTGTAAGCACGCGATCGTTGAATAACGTTGCCTTTAATGTAGTGTTTATAGATATAAATTCACTGCATCTTCTTCCGAGCAAGCGTGAGTAACTGTCGTTGTACGGTACTCTCCGAATTACGAGCTTGTAAGTTTAAGGAATTCCTTAATTCCGACGTGATTTTGTATATCAAGAGATACGAATGCACCGGTTAAGATCATATATGAAATCATCTTTATGCCGTTCTATATCGATGTACTGTATATCTTCACAGAAATAGACATGATTTTAATTGGTCCCGCGGTTGAGATAAGTACGATTTAATGAACTTTCCGATATGAATAACCGGACATTTACATACACCGATTTCAAAATACCAGAATATATCAGTTTCCATTTCAGAAACGAGAGACAAATAAACGGAACAGACAAATAAACAACAACAGTAAACATATTCCATTTTTCACGAGTGCTCGTAATAATATTTTACTGGCGGTCAAAATTAGTCCCGTGTACGTCATTGAGTACGATGACACACGATGATCTATCTATTCTTATAACGGCGCGGAGAATAAAATCGAGAATAAAATGCGACTGCTAATTCGTTCGCGATTCCGGTGGCTCCCCCGATAGTCAATGATGGAACGGGCTAACGACTCCGTCCTTATTCTCCGCTAATTAACTATTAACGACTTATCGGGAAAAAGTGACCTCGGTCGAGAGTTCACGCGCCCCATTCGAGAGAGCGCCGGCGAGCATCGCGTTTATAATTAGAAAGTCGATTACGACGGTGCCCCTGTCGTTGGCGCCGTGACCCGCCGTAATGAAAGCAGCACCCCCTCGATAATTCACGGAAAACACCGCGCTTTCCTCCGGAACCGATCCGGCACGGTACGATTGACTTAAACTCGTTCGTTTCTTCTCGTGCAAATTGATTATATATAGCCGCTGTCAAAGCTGTCTGTCTTTAACGTTATTATATCGCGTCTGAAACGTTATTATATCGCGTGTTATTATATCATCGTATACGATTACCGCGTCGTCGTCGTCGCTGTCGCATCGATACGTAGCGCGCAGCGATAATTCGTGACGCGAATGTCTGGCCTCAACGTCTGGTCAATATTTGTTGAACGCATGGATCTCTGCAGACTGCTTAATACGCGTAATTTCGCACGATGAAACTAGGATCAGTCGAATAAATAAACCTGATTCCGGATATAAGCATATTGAAGCCACATTATTTGCCCCCGCTGAATGGTACAGTCTTGATTGACTCCAGACGATATGTAATAATCTATTATACACATCATATGCTTTAATTGAATTTCTCGATCTGAGGTCGGAAATAGCTGTATCTTCTTCTTCAAATAATAGGAGATAAAGAAGGAATGTATTTAGAAGAAGAATTATAATTATACAATGAAATTTTTATCTCGATATATATATTAAAAATCACATTATAGAAAGAGAGTCTGATTTTTTTATATACATTATTGTCATGCCAATTAATTTTTCTTTTTAATTAAATTTTTCAGTACTAAAATGATTAATGATAAAACTGTTGCATTTTTCCTGCATTTACGAAATTAAATCTCGTCATGAGGAACCAAAATATGCAGAAAGTATACCAGCGTAGAACGCGTTTGAGCAATAACGTGTAAACCGCGGGACAAGGATTCTTAGTTAGTTAGACAATGTTTCCATAACTAAGTCAAGCCGGAGGTCACAATAATAACTTTAAACTCACTTTGTACGGCGCGATTGCATCGAAAACGAGATTCACCTTTTCGCCTCACGGCCATTTGTATCACGACCGGGTAATTTAACAAAAAGTTGCTCGCGATATTTCGTTATTACGTTTAAACGCTTCCAACGACGAGAGAGAGAGAGAGAGAGAGAGAGAGAGAAAGAGAGACTGAGAATCTCTGAGAAGTTTCAATGAAGCGCCCTATACATGAACGTTTTTCTCGTCGAAGTCCACGTTCAGTCCCTCGCTTCAAGCGTTATCTCAAAGTACATATAACACGTATAAATCCGTCCGCCATAACTTCTTTGATATTCTCGGAAGACGACCGTCGTCGTCGTTCAATAATCCTTATTTCTACCGGGGAAAAAGTTTCCGCAAGAAGGAAACGTGGCAACGCGGGGGGAAGGGTGAGGTATTACGCGCGTGATCCTCCTTCCTCGCAAATTACAAATTAAATTACAGCACTTTTGCAGGAAGTTCCCGAAAACTTACGGCTGCGAATTACTTACGGTGATCCGTGTCTTTTACTTGCGCGATCGCTTCGCGATGGGGAAAAAAGGAACTTCCGGCATTGCGATGTTCACGCTTTCCTTCCCGGTCCCCCGCGACGGGCGTTCTCTTTCTTATTCTTTCCTTCTTCTCTTATAAACGCCCCATATTTACGCGTAGCTAGTGAAAGCTGCATCGTAACTACCGCTCCGCGAAAGTCATTTATAAAGCATCGCGATATCCGCCCACCTATACTGGTCGTACCGATCGTTACATCCGCCAATCATCGGTCGCTCGGTGTGTTTCGCGCCGAGACCTTATTTCATGCGCGAAAATATAGGACGGGCAGAGAGATCCGGCAGGATAACCACCGCCTCCGGTGTGTTGGCTCGCATGATTGATGAAATTTGTGTAGGAGCAACAGGGCATACTTGCCGGTGCCCCTCCGGGAACGGAACGCTCTTGATTGATAGAGGGTGTTCGAATTTGAAATTCCGCCCCACGGAAAGTTGACCGTCCTCTCTCTCTCTCTCTCTCTCTCTCTCTCTCTCTCTCTCTCTCTCTCTCTCTCTCTGTCTCCTCGCCTTCTGCGGCCGATGTGTTTTTTTCTGCGTGGCACGCGAACGTGCTGGACACGCACACGTCCGCGTCGAGCAACTTCCGCGTTTCCGCGTCCCGCGACGAGACGAGGGTGTGGGAGGTTTCCTTCCGGCACGGTACACGCGCCGCCAAAGGACACTCGGCTCGTTCGTCCATCGTTCATCCGGGCTAAAAGTCGCGCGAGTCCGTATACAAGCTCCTCACTTTCCCCCGTATCCTCGTTGGCTTACTTATTTACAAGTCAAATGCGGCCGATCGATATATGCGACTATAAGGATCGAGGCGAGCCCGCTGCCGTGAAGCCGCATCGGAGCGCAAGGCAGCGAGACAGATGTACGAAATCGAAGCTCGACAGCATACGCGAGCTGTCACACGGAGTATCGTCTTTTAGCAGCGTCTCTCCGTCTCTCGTTTTGCCCGTGTAATATTAACTCTCCGTATACGTGCCCTCCCTCCATGGAATATATTTCATGGAAGAGAAAACGCGCGCTACGCGTCTCGCAAGCCGTACACATGCCGAGTGTCGCGGTTCAAAGAGCACTGTTTTAGCTTTGGCTCTAAAACCACGCGGGCAAAGGGAAGGCTGGAAACGTGCGTGGCGCGGTTTTACAGGATGCGATACGCTCGGTACATATGTACGTATATACGTACATTCCGGCTCGCCGCGCGCACGATCGAGCTGCTCTCGAAAGAAACCGCTCTCTCACGGCCACGACAATAAAATCTCGGGTACTGTTACGGTGTGCAAGTGCAGCGACCGCGCGACCCGCCTCCCCTTGCGGACGGAGAGACTTTAAAAAAGTTCGGCGCGCCGAGGCGCGAGAGGCGTGTGTGCACGGCGAAAAGTTGGCGGAAATCTACAACGGCGCGCGCGGTTCCCACCGGCGCGGTGCCGAGAGGTTTCCCCGCGCAGATAGATCCTGGATGGATCCTCGGCGAATTCGCCCACCCGCCCCTTTGTTTCCCCCGTGACGTTTAATCCGCGCGGTGACGCGCCGTTTGCTTTTGTATCCTTCGAAACGGGTGAATTACGCGATTTCAATTATTACACCGTAACTCGTTGACGATCCTCGCGACGATTCTCTCGAGCAAGATTGAATCATGTTCAATTTTTAGCTGTTTCGATCTTTCGCCAACGTTTCAATTTCGCTCGACTGCATATATATACCATGAGCTTGCGTAAAATCTATCGCGAAATAAAATCGGAGAAAAACGAGGTGCATAAAAATAGCTGGAGTGAAATCATGTTTTTATAATCGCATCCTATATTAATGAATCGTTTCGAAATATTCCTTTGAGATGTATAATTTCTTTTATCCGAGAATGTTGTAGCTGATCGGACCACTTTCTCTCATTCGCCGAGTTCGAATTCGTAGGGAGGGTCGGAATGGAATTGTGCAGCCTCGCCGCCCGTCGGCGGAAAGGCTAATTCGATGCACAACCTCGGACTCCTCGTGACGATAATAAAAGGAGCGAAGCTCGTTTTAGTCGTCGTTGCTGTATTAATTTAACTTCGGCGACGCGTTGACACGACGACGCCGGGCGCCGCGCCGGAAAACGCGATGCTGTAACGGTATTAAGCGAAATTGCCAACGGTTCTTGGCGGGGTGTCCCATCGTGCTCTCTGAGATTAGCGGCGTTGACTAACAAAAATAAAGGAACGGCAGGCTCGTGGGAATGCAACGGGGGGGGGGGAGGGACCGGGAGGAAGACGGAGCGGCCGGAGAGAAAATCCCGGAGGTCTCCGATGGCACGGAACTGCCTCAGACATAGACAGACTTGTCCGATAACATGGAAAGTGGAGTTTACTCTTGTTGTACCCGGCAAGCCACGAGGCAACTTTGCGCTGTTCGCACAAGCGACATACGCCGTTGACGCCGCGTTGTAAGAAATAGCGATATATATTTAACGTCGGACGCGTATACGGAGCGAATTCGATTCCAGAGCGGGAGGCGTGAAAGCCGATCGAAAATATTCTACGTGCATAATCTCGTTTTATATAAAATTACACGACGGCATTTATTATCGCGAAAATCGTTATGTGTCAGGTAATTTGCTCAGTGACAGTCACGCACAATTATCCCAACGTACATTAACTAAAAGTGTCAAATAGCGTACGGGATATTTGTATGGCATACAAATTATTCAAAATTGTTAAGCGCCCCGTATTATTTAGTAATAATTAATTCCGGTCGCGCGTGTACGTAATATGATTATTCGATCGTGTAATTAAACAATGATCCACATCCGCGTTCAACTATCAATAATGGTGGAGTACACATAAAAGCGCGCAGTTAGTTGCCCGCGTTGGTAAATATTAAGCCGTAGACTGGAATATATTAGTTATATATGTTGCATATTTCTCTCCGGCGGAATATCCCAAAAGACGAAACTCCGTTTCGTCATGCATGCAACTACGGCCCCGGCTAAGTAAGTTCTGCGGTCGCGGCACCGCAGTCACGTTCTAACGTCGTCGCGCACGTTTCTGCTGTTAGCAGGATTCCTCGAGATGATACCGGGAACGGCGGGCCGGTGGCTGCTCTGCGCGGCGCTTACGGTCGCCCTGTGTCAAGGACAGGAGGACTGGATGCAGTGCCCGTCTGCGTGCAAGTGTAAATGGGTGTCCGGCAAGAAGACCGCCGAGTGCATTAAGCAGGAACTCACGCAGGTGCCGAGGGACCTCTCACCCGAGATCCAGTATCTCGATTTGAGCGGCAATCGTATAACCCGCCTCGTCGATGACGTGTTCAACCACGCCAATCTGAAGAATCTGCATAAGCTGTCGCTGCGCGAATGCGGAATCGAGACGATACAAACGGGCGCGTTTAACAACCTGAAGATCGTCATCGAGATCGATTTGTCGAGCAACAATATCCGCACCCTTCATCCGGGCACCTTCTTCGAAACTGAGAAGCTGCGGGTGCTGATGCTCGATCACAATAAGCTGAGGACGCTGGAGGATGGCCTGTTCGTCAATCTCGAGTATCTGCAAAAAGTTTTGTTGTCGAACAACAGATTGGAACGTATTGGGGAGAATACGTTTTACAACTTGCCGGGTTTACGTACCCTCGCGTTGAACGGCAACAATTTCAACACCCTGCAAGCGCAGAGCTTCGAGAGCCTGACCAAGCTCAGCAGCCTCGAGCTCTCGAATAATCCGTGGAACTGCAATTGCCATCTCAAAAGGTTCCGCGACTGGGCGATTCCGCGTAAGTTGTACACACATCCGACCAGTTGCCGGCAGCCAAGCCACATGGCCGGCAAGCTGTGGGACGAAGTTAGCAGTGACGAGTTCGCGTGTAGACCGAAAATCACCAACATCTTGCCGGATTCCAAAATCGAGATGGGCAAGGGAGATGTGACGCTCTCGTGCAAAGCGTCGGGTACCCCACGTCCTCAGGTAATTGCATTTTCATACAGGCACACACGCTTCTGATAATAGTGTCGGAGAACTAAGTCCGGTTTGAAACTAAATTCCTAGATCTAAAAGTCTACAGTGAAAAGAAATGCGATATCTAATGCCAATCTTGCAATTTCTTTGAGAATTCTTGTATATAACACACATAAAACTTCTTCTTTTTCTTCTTCTTACTACTGCAGGACTTTCTTGTACTACCGCACTACGAAACCTCGCGTTGCTTGTCTGTTTCAGCTATCATGGACGCATCGTAATCGCGTTTTAAACAATCACACCAAACGCCAAAGCGACAGAGGCTACATATTCTCATCGGGCCACGAATGGCTGAATCTCACTATTATCGACGCGCTGCCCGTCGACAAGGGTGACTACGTCTGCCACGCGAAGAATCCGGGCGGCGAAGTCGAGAGAAACGTGAGCCTGTCCATCGTGGGCGACGCTCTGGGCGGCAGGGAGAACTTCATCAGTCTGCCCCTCGCCATCGGGCTGGGTGTCACCGCGCTCTGTTTGCTGATCGTCACGGTGGTGCTCTGCGTGTGCTACTGCCGTCGTCGTCGCACCAGGCATGATGAGAAGGGCCTCGAGGCGGCGTCCCTGGAGCACCACGGCCTCGGCGAGCAGGAGAAGTCCCTGATCACGACCATCAACCCGGTCGTGAAGCCGCCGAGGCGCTACGAGGCGCCGTCGGTGACGTCGCACGGCACGGAGATGACGGAGCTGAATCGCACGTTGCTCGACAACGACTCGGTTTTCGGTCAGTACACAGCCTACATTACTAAACAGTGCGCGGCTAGGTGCTAGCGAGAAACTACTACCTTACCATTAGCTCCGACAAGCGATTTACCTCGAGACCGACCGCGCATTCGCGGTCACATTAATCCAAGGTCGACCGAATTCACCGCCGAGTTTGGCTCGCGATATGATTCTTAACGAGTCCGCGGCGGATCCATCGGTCATTTCATTGGAGGGGGGAGAGGGGGGAGGTAATATCTTCTCTCCCTAAGCGGGGAATGGAAACGACCCCGCTATATGTCGCTTATGTAATGTACAAATAGCGTGTATGCATGTGTGTGCGTGTGTAATCGTAAATCGATTCGTTCCGTGCCGAGCGCGGACTGCTGTCATGCGAGAATTGTCCGACCAGGTGCCATCGATCTTAAGGTAAGGAGAGTCCGCCGAGTGGCAGCTAGGAGACTAATGAAGATCCGTTAGGGACGCTTATAATACATCAGGCACCCCTTAATATTAACGTTCGCGCTGCGACAGCGCGAACACATTCGTCATCCGTGTTCGACCACCTGATATCATCCTTTTAAGAATAACATTTTCTGTAGATAAGAACAGGGCGGAGAGGTTTTAATTTCTAGCTTCCAAACGCGAGAACGTTGATTACGAATTGCATAATGAATCGCTGTAACATATAATTGCACAAGTAATGACGACAATAATAGATGTGCCAAGAAACACGTTGCGTATGTGTGCGTGTGTGTGTGTGTGTAGACTTGCGTGTCATCATTAATGAAATATTTTTCGACGAGATTACGCAGGGACTCGCATGTGATGAATGCTCGCAATCGAATTTCCGGAAAAATATATACGACTTGTTTACTTTAACTTTTAACGCGACCAGAATCTTGTAAAAAAATTAAGTCAGCTTAACGAGTATTAAGAGAGCCTTAAAGCGACACGATGTACGATGTACGTAGCGCCAAGCGTACGCTTGACCGGCGACGCGCTCGGAAAAAAAATGCAGTTACATTTTTCAGTTAAATTGACAAAGCACTCTCCCGATTACGATCGCGACCAATCCGATTAAGAGCACTCGTCCACGCTCGTCGAGGATAATCAATATCGCGGATTATACGCCAGCATCCTGACGATGCTGTCTTCACTTACTCGCTCGCGCGTACGTTCCCGGCCTCTTCGTACCCGCAGACTTGTCTCTCTCGCGCGCGCGCGCGCGATCTTTTTTCATCCCGTATTTTTTTATTCTCAACCTCACTTAGGATTTTCTTTTTTAACGTTCGTCCTTCTCTTTTGTTCATGTTCTCGCAGCTGACGGTGTCGGGAGCGGTGTCGTCGGTGGGGTAGGCGGCGGCTTAGGCGACGACGAGAGGGATCACGAACGGGCCACGCCGGTAACTCGACGGGGGCGGCAGCGGCGGCGGCGGCGGTGGCGGCGGCAGCGGCGTCGGCGGCGGCGGCACGTTGCCGCGCGGGGGTGCCGATTACCACCACCGACAATATCCGCCGGATCTGCTGGCCTTCTCCGGCGGCCGCGGCGCATCGCCAACTAGCCAGGCGTCCACGGCGCCCGACAGCACGCGTCTGCCTAGTCAGCATATGATAGCACCGACGCTGACGACGACGACGTCGGCTGCCACATCGTACGGCTCGCCGCCGTCAGGCCAGTACCACCCGGCCGCCTTCAAGACGCTGCCGCACAGCCGCAGCGCGACGCCGTACGGTCTCGGACCGTCGTCGTCGTCGTCGCCGATGGCGCCGATGTTACCGCGTCACGGCTACGTGACAATCCCGCGGCGGCCGCGGGCGCCTAGCTGGAGCAGCGGACCCCCGACGTCGCCCACCGACGTCCTCGAGCCGGTGTACGACAATCTGGGGCTACGCACCACGGCAGACGGCAGCTCGATGCTGTCGCTCAATAAGAGCCCGGAACCGGCGCCCTCGTCCATGAGGGGTCGGCCGCTTCCGGTCACGCCGAGCGGTTCGCACTACGGCACGATCCAACGTAGCACCCCGAACATCCTGACCAGTAATTCGTTGGATCGGTCGGCGCCGGAGGGCGCGGCCGAATGGCCGTTCAAGTTGACGGACGAGAGCCTGGACGGCGGTCATCTGCTGCTCGCGCAGCAGCAGCAGCAGCAGCCAACGCAGGCAGCCGCCAGCAACACCCTCGGCAGGAAGGTGCCGCCGAGACCGCCGCCAAAACCCAAGAAGAAATCCGCCAACGGACCGACGCTGTACGAGGACGAGGGTGAGGACGGCACGGAAGTATGATACCATGGGCATCGTCCGCGATGAGGGCGACTGGTCGTAGTGCGCCACGACGACGGGGCGTGCGTGACCACACTTACAATAAACCGGTAGTGCCTTTCGAGACGCGCGTCTCGCGCGCGCGGGACCTCCACTCCGTACGACGAGTCGCAGTCTGGGGGGGACGGAGACGAGATACGAGGAGACTCTGGGAGGCCGCAGGACCTACGGATCAGGACACGGGTGGTTCGCCGAAACCGCTGACGATGACATTTTTAGAGGAGGACACGCCGATCGGACATTCGTGTCACCTATCCCCCGTTCCTCAACTTTCCCTTCCTGTAAGTTATCTTGTAAGTTATTTATTGAACGTTACGGAGCGCCCAAAGTATCCGAAAGCAGTAAATCGTGATCCGCATGAATTATTTTCCGTACGATCCGATCGTCAACGGATCCCTTCTCGTCCCTCGTCTCTTCCTATCTTTTTCTTGTGTGTGTTTTTTTTTCCTTTTTTTTCATCATGTTCCTTTAGCGTTTTTTACTTTGACGCTCGCCACGCGCCGTGAGGTGATAACGTGATAAATGTGAATAAGGTTCCGGACATTGCCGCCGGTATTAGTCGATAAGGTGAAACCTATTCGCGTTTTGTGTGAAATTTACGCGAAGCACGGAGCAACTGGGAAGTGCTTGAACGCGAGTCGTTCCGCGAAGAGCGATACACCAGTGAAATTCGTCTTCTATTCGTGTTATTCCCCGCAGCACGGGGAAATCGCGATCGTTTTACGGCGATGTATAAAACGGAAGTGTTAAGGTTTCAGGCAAGGCAAACGTTTTTTGCACATGTTACATTTATGCGGTAAACACGATGAGAATTTAACATTGTTAAGAATCTATCTAGCTGTTACACGCCTGTCGCGCGTTTTTCCTTTTCTGTTTTTTTTTTAATATTGAAATTCCCGATGCCTGTATCTCGAATCATAGCAAAACACTCGTTGCATTTTTCGCAAGTGGCACGAAACTCTCGTGCCGCTAAGCTTACGCCGTGAATGGCGTAATGGTATGTGTCCCTTCTCCTTCTGTAAGCGCATCGTTAAGACCGTGCTCGCGTACCCCGTAGTGGTATCCCGTGTTCCGTCAGCGATGTTTTATATCTCTTAAATCGCGCCGATACATGCGTTATCGCTCGCGATGTTTACCGCGACGCGAAATCGATCGTCAGTCAGCCGTTGACGCGGTACGGAATGCCCTATGCTACCTACGTAACGGTGCCACTTTGTATTACGTTAAATGGATAATATCTATTACAGCGATTGTATAAATCTATAGTAGTTGTAAGTGCTGCGATGACACTCGACGCGTGTTTGAGGGGTTGCTTAGAATCGTACAGAAAATCGTATCGCGTAAAGGTGAATACGATTAAAACGGTTGTATAGTAAAGAGAGAAAGAGAGAAACATGTGACAAGTGAACGTGTTTTGCGCGTTTATTTCTACCGATCCGCTAATTGCACGAATGCGCGACCTTTGAAATTCGTGCGATTCATTATCGTCAGAATGACCGGGCGGTCGGAGTAACGGCGTATTTTGTAAACGAGACCAATTTGGTGTCGCTGCCCGATTGGCTCTCTCTCTCCTGCGCTCTACCGTGGATAACACCAAAAAAAAAAGACCAGTTTATGATGTATATACACGCGCTTCTCTACCGATCCGCAAATTCACTTCGGGACTGCAAATTAATTGAACGTTACGCGCGGTGCGTTCCAATTAGCAACAATTACAGCCCGATTGTTAACAACTCCGGCACATATCGCGCATAATATCTGGACGCGCGCGTAAAAATTATTGACCGGGGCGTGTGTGTACACGCTAGGGGGATTACGCGCGCTCGTACGCCGATTGTGCGAGTCGTCAAAAAGTGGGGAACAGCGTCGGTTGTAACGAATTGTTTAGGCGGACATGATTTAAATTGACGACGATATTACGACGCCGTGTCGTAAATGCTGGAGCTGCAGGAACAGAATTCAACGCGTCCCCATTTTGAGATACGTTCGATCGCTACAATTCCACCGTCGACGACAATATATCGTAAAGTAGAACGTCCATGCGAGCTGTATATCATCGACGAGCGAACGCGTTCGGACTTACGGTCCCGAATACCTGATGGCCGATAAATCGTCTCTCCTTGAAAACTGGAAAACATGTGACTCGTTGGTGCGCGACTTGTCGCGCGCACAGCCCGGCGGCGGTGCGCGTTTTTCTTCCGCGTTGAAGTTAATGCCTCTCTTCGAGCTCATTCGAGTCCCGCCTCTCTCCTTCTCTCTCTCTTTTTTCCTTCCTCCTTTTCCATCGCGATGCGATTTCCGCGATATGAGTACAAGTGGTCCCTCTCTCTTTGCGGTGCTTCCATTATCCTCCGCGCTGGTTAACGCTGTCGATTCGCCGGCTTCGTTCCGGCGCGAAACATCTGGCTGCGATACATCGTGATAAGGAGTGCTTTACGTGCGCTTACACACATTCGCACATAAACACGCACAGCCACACATACATACACACATGAGGAACCGCCTCGCCCGTTGGCGATATTTCACCGAGGTAAGGGTAGGTGGGTGAACGTTCTTTAACTGCGAATTTATCGCCGGCGAGCCATCCACTCTTTATGCTTTTGTTACCTTTTTTCACCCGGGGAGATTAACGTTTCCCTTTCTCTGGCTTTAGCAGGGATTTCGGACGCGATTGTATACAACTTGTTGCGATTGTGCTCGGCGGCGGCGGCGGCGGTTTCCGGCGGCGGAGCACCGAGAGCGATCGAGGGAACGCATTTCGAATGAATCCCACGCGAACTTACCCCGTCGAACGACGCTTGAATTCAAAGCTGGCGGTGCTCTCGATCAATCCCGTACCCCCTGTCTCCCGGGCTCGCGGGCGGCGACTCGGAGATCAACGCTCAGGTTCAGGCAAAACACGGCTCGGATCCTACTCCATAAATGCATCGCGCGGAATCGTGTCGCGATATATAGGTACGAAGTACCTGGGAAGAGACGCACTTTATCTCGATTGTAAAACTCGACTCGATTGTAAAACTCAAGGCGTTTCTCTTCCCTCGCGCAATCGCTGCATGCGAAAAGACTTCGATTTATTAAACAGCTTGGCACTTCGAACGCGAATTAAAATGAAAATTCTCTTAAAATACGGATACGGTGAAATAGAAACCGTGAACGATCGTCGTAAGTAGCGCGGACATAGTGGTTAACATGAATATCGCTTAAGCTCAAACGAAAAAGAAACTTTCATCATCTTACATCCTCTCATTTCGTCGATTGCAGCCCGTCGTCATTTTGGATGTTACATTTTATTCGAATATGTTAATCGCGATACGAATATTTAATTTAATATTTTATTTTATTTCGCGTAATGAATTTCTTTTCAATTCTTTTTTTTTTCCTTATCTTTTCTTTCTTTTAGAGCTCTCTTTATTTCGTAATCTAACGGTGGCTCCCCGACTTTGAGATTGATTCGCGGGCGCATGAAGTGCGACCGAATTCGTCATTTTGGATGTTACATTTTATTCGGATATGTTAATCGCGATACGAATATTTAATTTAATATTTTATTTTATTTCGCGTAATGGATTTCTTTTCAATTCTATTTTTCCCTTATCTTTTCTTTTTTTTTAGAGCTCTCTTTATTTCGTAATCTAACGGTGGTTCCCCGACTTTGAGATTGATTCGCGGACGCATAAAGTGCGACGGTCGCCAAAAACCAGTCCGAAAAACCGGGCTGCCCGTGCCCGGATTACGCCAAACAGTATTAAGCGCCCGACGGCTAGACAGCCCGAGCGCAAACATGACAGCCGTCCGGGTGAGACGCGGCGGAGAAAATACCGGCGCGCGGTCGCGTCGCCTCGATTTTTCGCCGCGCCACCGCGATCGACGAGCTCGACGACTTATTGCGGCGTGCTTCCGCCGTCTTGGCGCTCTCTCTCTCTGGTAGCGAGAAAAATGTTCAGTCGCGATACGCCGCGACAGCCTGAGAAACGTTCCCGGTTTCTCGTAGGCCAGTGCCAACCGATTTTTCCATCCACGACGATTTTTCTCGCCCTCCTCCTCCTCCTCCTCCGTTTCTTCGCGAATCGTCAAATCAACGCTACGAACGGCGCCGTCATCTCCTCCGTGTTTCTCTCCTCTTACTCTCCCTCGACTAGACCTGTACCGCTATTCCGCTCAACGGCCCGTACGTGCCGTTGCAAATGAGGAGAAAATCGCGCTCTCGACGGCCGTGCACGCGAAAAATCGAGCTCGCACGATCGGAGAACATTGGAGAACAGTATTTTAAGCGGCCTAGCAGAGAGTCGCGGCTCGCCGAACTCCGACCTCCATGCCGTGCTATGTACATACACTCTCCCTTTCCCTCCTCTCTTTCTCTCTCTCTCTCTCTCTCCCCATCCCCTCTGAATTGCACCCTATCCGTATGCTGTCCATATTGTAAATGATACACGATGGAAACCCGCACGGCACGGGTCCCGGTCGTTACCGGCGCCACGAGTATATTTTTGTAATTTTGTATTTTGCATCGCACCTCCCACCGCGTGGCCCCGGCGTCTCACCCGGCCGATTATCCGGAGAATCGATCTCTATTTGTCGATACCACGCCGTTTCAACCCTCCCGCTACACGTTCGACGGAAGGGGAAGAGGGAGGAGGGGGGAACCGTGAGATCCACACATTCCATTTAACGCTGTGGGAAAGTGCTGCGCGCATCCGACAGTTAACGAAGCGAATGTACGTACGTCATTCTCGGGGGGGATAATTTATTGATTGTCGCCGAGTGTATCCTGAATTGCGATTGCGAAACCGTCTCACCTATGCGTCGTGCGCCGCCCGCGCGCGGATGTTCCGACACCGATCGATCACGGGGTCAACACCTATCTCGTCCGTTTGCGATCGGCCGCACGTATCTTTCGTGAACGGAAACTGTCTCTCTGTTTCTCTCTCGCTCTACGAGGAACTTATTAATTCTTAACAACGAAGTAATCGAGGTTTAAAACGAGCTTTTTTATTTATATTCCAGGATAACCGAGATTCTCGAATAAAACTCTTAAATGTCACCGAAGGCAATTGAACGTTCAATTCGCGATTCTTTTTATTTTTGTACACAGTGGAAAATTCAATGGATCTATTTTAAATTGTTCTCGATTTATTTTAAAATATTACAATTTTCGTTCGGCTGTAATTACGTTCTTTCTCCAGAAAGATATATAATTTTCCATTTGCCAGAGTAAAAAGAGGCTATATTGCCTAAGGTGTGGATGCGTTATCGGGAGGGGAACAAAATTAAAAATGCGATTTGACACGAACGAGAGCCGAACACTCATTAAACACTTTCACGATATCGCGATGTTGTATCGCGAAAATTCTCAGCGCTCAATTATCTGTCCAACTGCCAACTACAACGCAATGTCGTTTGCGTGATATTTCAAATATCGTGCACGCACACCTCCTCGCTTCCAATCGCCCTTCGATTTGTACGTGCTCGCGAAGTGTTACGGTAATTTACATTAAAATAGGGTAATTTACGACTGGCACAAGCAAGCTCATTTAGTACGCTCCCATTTGTACGCGCTACACACGAGTGGGGAGCTCGACTCGGTCACAAAATTTTTGTCGAAATTAATAGCGCCGACGTCATTTCAATAATTTTAATATATTCGCGTATATTCGCGCATATCATTAACATCATTTATATAATTTTAATGCCATCGGTTTATTAAAATTTGTTAAATGCTTTTAACAATTTATATTAGTTGTACGATTTTAATGAAACTACTGATTATTAATATTTATATTAAATATTTTGAATAATTTTAAAATCAATCTTCTCTTTATTTTCAATTTCTTACGATTTACGATTCTTCTTTACAAACGTTTTACTTGTACGCGAAATAATACACACGAATATATTAAATTTACGATAATTGACGCTTCACTTTTCTGCCAATGAGCGGTCAATCGAGGGAGTACCGTCCAACCAAATAGATCGGTCCAACTTACAATCTTCCGAGCAATTATTTGTGAATCTAATTAGAAACACATTTTTATAAGACGCGTGCGTTTTGTAGAGCGTAGTTCAGTGAAAGACGTTCGTACAGACCTAAAGCCGTATCACGCCAAATATTTTAGCATTTTGCATTTATTGCAACATTCCGTGGGGATAATTTTTTACTCCGCAATTACGGCAATAAAAAACCGATTACGCATATTTCAGCGCAGCTGTAGTGCACAGCTTCGGTTTCCTCAAATAGGATTTAAAAGAAGACATTTACAAAAGACATGAATTCTTTAGATTGTACGCATCTTTAAATTACATGCATTCCCGACACAAGTACGTAGAAACGTTCAGAACAGATTTTTCGCCTGTTATTGCGAATTCCCCTTATATACCTGTATATTGAATTTTTGTTGTCTCACACAAATTTACGTTATTACTTTTTATATAGCGCGCAAGGTATTCGGTAAAAGGACTTAATTATTCTCGTCTCTCTCAAGACTGACAATCTTAGAATTAGGATAATTGTCTTCTCTGGTTTTACGTACCTTATACGGATGCAGTCTTCTCGTTGTTTCTCGATCGACAGAAGAGGAATTGCATTTATACGAAACGATGGCGTGCCACCGTGAATTTTGCCTAAGTTAAACTTTGATACGAAATACGCTACGTAAAGCTGTTCCTTTCTTAAGACATAATTCGTTAATCTAATATATTTGTATGGTGAAACCTATAGTGTAAAACGTCGAAACGAATAATTATCATTGATTGAACATCGATTGAAGCCGATCGAACCGTGTTCGTTTGCTTCTGTTACTCGTTACAAAACAACCGTTGTTTAGTTGATAAGCCTTTGCCTAGCGCAACAATAATTGTTAAAAACTGCCTAACTGACGCACGTAATGGCGCTAAATCTCGACGAAGAATGTGTAACGCATATACGAGTAACAAAAAGTGTTGCGCGCGAAAACGGGAATACGTCGCTGAATAGGCACAATAATTCTGTTGACACTCAGTACAATGTCGCGTAAAAATGTCGCGTCTGGCTAACTCGTGCTCAACGAGTAGAGATGCGCACGAGACGAGATAAATCTCGATCTCGTCTCGATCTCGTCTCGAAATCGAGACGAGATTCGAGATCGGGATTACTTATAATATTCGAGATCAATATCGAGATTTACCACATCAAGATCAAGATTATTGAAAATTCTCGTCAAGATCTCATTGAGATCTCGACAAAATATTTTATTATTTCACCGATCTGACGACACTATATGACGCTGTGGCTGCTGCACACATAAACCACGCAACGCCACAGACATGAAGGATTATGGTATAGACATTACAAATGTTTCATTTTTACCCTGCGTAGTTCCATAGTGAAAATACGCAAGAAGTTATGACT